GAGACCGTACCTCACCTACTCCACTAACGAGTCTAGGGAGTCGCCTACGCCTACTCCCTAACCCTAACCATATCAGCTAGATAGTTACCAGGGTACGTTCCGGTATACCGGACCGTACTCAGGGTACGTTCCGGCAGTACCCTGGGGGACATAGACAGTATGACTATGAGTTAGTATGAGCATTAGTACTATTAGTATTACTATTAGTATTAGTACTATTACTAATAGTAAATTAGTATTCATAGTAATTACATATGATACTTGGTTAATATAGTTATACGATGCGGGGTTTACGCTTACTCGACAGACAGACACTTACCGGTACATGACTGATGTTACCATGCTTTACGCTTCTCAGTATTATATTACCATCATGTTCAGATCTAACGCCAGTCATGTCAATGAATTCTTTCCAGCAATAGTTTATTGCGTTAGATGTATACGTTTCATAGGTTTGCAGCCATAGTTTGCAGCAGTGCTGTCGTGGTTTCGGCGTTCCATCGGATGCCCAATCTTCACCATCGGTGGCAAATATTTGCTATTATTTTTCACCGAGAGAGGGCGATGGCTATGTGTACGGTAATGGTATACTGTACACCATAGATATGCGATTAATTAAGCCCTTTCCGCGCCATCTACAATGAAGCATATCTCCGACATACGTATAATCAGGAGTCAGGGCCGGATTTAGACATGTGGAGGCCTCTGGGCAGCCTTCAGTAGTGCATGCCCACCCTACCTTAGAATACTAAAAACTAAAAGGTGACAAGACATAGTTACAGCCAATCAGCTATCCATAAAGTAACTTTTTCAAATAGAAAGAATCTGAATAAGCAAGCAAAAAATCGACGTTGAGATGGATGACGTTAGATTTTGGATGTTTGTTTGACGACGTGTGCTGAGTAGGCTAATGACAGGAAAACAACCAGTTAGCTCTTTCTACCACTCACAAACAAATACAATATGGCTTGCGTATGTATGGCGTAAAACGCGCGCAATATGGTTTTGATGGATACGTGCGTGTCAGCCTACATTTTTCCTTACAAATTTTTTTTCATGAAATATGTGGAGGCCCCTGGTTGTGGAGGCCCCTGGGCAACTGCCCAGCTTGCTCAATCATAAATTCGGCCCTGTCAGGCGTAAATGATCTCAACGGAAATTAAGAATCTCTTTAAGATTACTTACTCCTGGTACCGGTATATATATAGATATCCATGCTTCCACATCATAGCGGTCGTTATTGCACCAATACTAGCAGTCTTTGCTTCCATATTATCGGAAGTCATATAGCTATATCAGCTATACATGATATTAATGATCAAATCTAGACACTATCCAGGTCGTGCCAAGCGGAAATGGGGAGGAGCAAAGGGGCGCTTGCACTTTACACCCCGTCCAACGTAGATATTATGTGGACTATAATGGAGCCAATGGCGAAATGGCCACCTTCACCTGCTAAGAATACAAACACGCGCGTGGTGTTTTTTGTCCGGCAAAATGCTAGCTAGCAACGTCCCCAATATCAATATTTAATTATCCAGAGAAAGACCGGATACCAGAGAAGCGTCGCCTGAGAGGTGTTGATCCTGCCCGCTAAGCGCGAATCTTGCGCGCAGTTCCGCGGCAAGGCGCACGCGACCGCGGGAACCTCCTACGAAAGTATCACGCGCTGGCAGCTATTGATCCGTGCGCCAAATCGGCACCCCGTAGGCTATAGATGGTCTTTTCGTCATCCCTTCGCTATATGGTTTATTATTCGCTTTGTTAAAATTCTTGTACATACTAATATTACTAAGAAACAAATCCATCCCTCCTTACCACCCTTTCCTCTTTCTCTCCCTTTCTCCCTTTCTTCCACCCTTTACTTCCTCCTGTCTTTCCCTTTCCCCCGCTCTCGCTACGCCTGTCTCCATTTTTCGCCTTCTCTCCGCCTCTCTCACTCTTCGTAAAAATACTACATTTATTATTAAGAAAGATGATTTACCAATACCATCACACACACACACACACGCACGCACGCACGCACGCACGCACGCACACAGACACTGGAGTAAGTTGTGGAAATCCACCTATGATGTATGAATCGCGGCAGTGTGAACTATCAGTTTTAGTTACACATGATTTGAACATTAATTAGCTACTAATCACAGCGACCTGAGGCGTGGGAGACTCGCTGCTATTATAATGAAAGACGCATGCTTCTTCTGCAGACACAATACTCGCACTATAGGCGTGGCTGGAGTAAGAATACATTAGCGTGTTGTTCTTACAATTCACCCGATTAAATTATTTTTCTATTATATGCATTTTTTATCGCGATATCAGTGTAATACGCTGCAACTTCCAACCGGTACGTGTACACTGTTTTGACTGTGCTATTTATCCGTATTTATAATAAAACTGTAGTTGGCACTGTTTATACAACTGTTACGGCCTACTGTCTACGGTCGAGATATATGCATCACTACATCAGTAACAACGAGAAATTCAGCAGATTAAAAAAGAAACAAAGCTGGCAAATAGTATCGTTTAAATGGATCAATCTTCATGATTCTTAAGTGGTACATTTTCGGCAATAAAAGAATTTTGCTTTTATATATATATATATAGGTATATATACCGATCTGGTAGCTGTGTAGTATTGCTGCTATGGCGAGCGCGATAACAACCTGCTTCTACGTTGTGGTCTGTGATACGGTTGGCGTTAGCATGTCATACACCAGTGCCATATGACAAGATACACCTAGAATAATATAAAAATATCAACGATTAAATATAATAACATCAGCATATAGAAGTAGAATATGTCTACATATATTAATACTAACATCAGGCTAGACATTATTACTCGCAGCACCTGTAAATGTAGGGCAGACAATGCCTGAGAGCAGCTAGATAACAGTGTAGTAGTGTTTAGTGAATTGTTAACATTATTTTTAATCTCCATATATATCTTCACGGTATTTATCACATTTTGACACTATACATATTGGGTAATAATTGGCATCTTTGTTAGTGATATATGTTGTACATTATAACTGGTGTACTTAATACTCACCATAAACGTCTTCATGCATAAATAAAAGTTGATCCTCTACGACACCATGATTTTGTTAGCTGCTCACATAATTAGCCGCAATGCAAGATACTACTATTCTCGATGTTCGCGCTTTTTCTTTTCCGATTTTCTCTCTCTGTGCGTGTCTTTCTATATATATCAGAAGTAGATAATAGGAAACTACTCCCGATTATCTACTCATATATATATATATCTTATCTCACTCGCCTACTTCCCCTTTTCTCGTTACCCACCCCCTCTGCCTCTGTTTCTCCATACATCTCCCTCTCTCACTCTCTCTCTTTCACACACACACGCACAAGCCGCGCACACGCACACGCACACACACACACACGCACACGCACACACACACACGCACACAATCTCCTGTGCGTACACGTTGGTCCACAGTGGAGAGCATCTAACCCGCAGTGGCGTTGTGTGCGACTGGTGATTGATTATGGCATGTTTTTTGTTTCATAATTCGATTTTTGTTTTATGGTTGATTTTATCACATATAACATTCGATTTATCACATATAACATTCGATTTATCACATATAACATTCGATTTATCACATATAACATTCGATTTATTACATATAACATTCCATTTATCACATATAACATTCGATTTATCACATATAACATTCGATTTATCACATATAACATTCGATTTATTACATATAACATTTGATTTATTGCATATAACATTTGATTTATCGCATATAATATTTGATTATTTAATCATATGTTATATGCAATAAAGCGACAATAATTCCGTTTTAAATGTTCACATTATTTGATTTTATATCCGAAAAGAGAATCAAACCATTCGATCCTGGCATAAAACCATTCGGTTTTGGAATAGAATCATTCGATCTGCGAATCGAACCATTCGATTCACGGATCGAATGCTTTGATTCACGGATCGAATGATTCGATTTACGGATCGAATGCTTCAATTCACGGATCGAATGATTCGATTCGCAGATCAAATGATTCGATTCCAAAACCGAATGGTTTGATGCCAGGAAGTTTAATGATAGATCACACAATTCAACAAGGTATTATGAAATGCATTCTAAGACAACGCCTAGTTTTCCTTGGCCTGACCAAGACGACGAACATAATCTGGTATTAATCCAGTTAAAATGCATTTCCCAACTAGTTTAATGATAGATCACACAATTTAACCAGGTAGTATGTATATATACGCAGGTAACTTAATAGGTAGTTCAATTTTTTTCAGCTTCATTCTACGCAGACAAAGAATTAAAGACCCCTGTGGTAACCACGGTTACTGCACGGCTGTCAGCCTGAACATCATCTCTGCATCATCGCCATGGTTACTGCATGGCTGTTAGCCTCATAATCATCTCTGCATCATCACGGTCACTGCACGGTTGTCATGGCAACATCTGCATCATCGCCATGGTTACTGCATGGCTGTCAGCCTCATTATCATCTTTGCATCATCACGGTCACTGCACGGCTTCCACGGCGACCTCTCTGCATCATTGCCATGGTTACTGCATGGCTGTCAGCCTCATTATCATCTCTGCATCATCACGGTCACTGCACGGTTGTCATGGCAACATCTGCATCATCGCCATGGTTACTGCATGGCTGTCAGCCTCATTATCATCTTTGCATCATCACGGTCACTGCACGGCTTCCACGGCGACCTCTCTGCATCATTGCCATGGTTACTGCATGGCTGTCAGC